CCCACGGGCCTCCTCCTCCCCATCCCACCCCACTGGTAAGGACGTAAGTCAGTCTGCATCCATCTCCCCATGTCCGGTGCTCACACTCCCACCCATCTCCGTGCTCTGGATGATGCCCAGGAGGGTGAACCCAGCACCAGGCAGGGATGCACGATGGGGCCACAGCTCCTTGATTTGAGATCAAGGCTTATACCAGCCCTGAGAGCTGAGGGAGCTCCTGGCCCTATTTCTTGGGGGAAACCCTTCATCCTCCTCTGACCTTCCACCTCTCCACCCTTGCAGTGCTGACGGGGAGTTTGCTGTGACCCACATGACGAAGGCCCACCTCTTCTCCAACGGGAAGGTGAAGTGGGTGCCGCCCGCCATCTACAAGAGCTCATGCAGCATCGACGTCACCTTCTTCCCCTTCGACCAGCAGAACTGCAAGATGAAGTTCGGCTCCTGGACCTACGACAAGGCCAAGATCGACCTGGAGAACATGGATCACCATGTGGACCTCAAGGATTACTGGGAGAGCGGCGAGTGGGCCATCATAAAGGCCATCGGCACCTATAACTCCAAGAAGTATGACTGCTGCACCGAGATCTACCCCGACATCACCTTCTGCTTCATCATCCGTCGCCTCCCGCTCTTCTACACCATCAATCTCATCATACCCTGCCTGCTTATCTCCTGCCTGACTGTGCTGGTCTTCTACCTGCCCTCCGACTGCGGGGAGAAGATCACCCTCTGCATCTCCGTCCTGCTTTCCCTCACTGTCTTCCTGCTGCTCATCACGGAAATCATCCCGTCCACCTCGCTGGTCATCCCTCTCATCGGTGAGTACCTCCTCTTCACTATGATCTTCGTCACGCTCTCCATCATCATCACCGTGTTCGTCCTCAACGTCCACCACCGCTCACCCAGCACCCACACGATGCCTCACTGGGTGCGTAGCTTCTTCTTGGACTTCATCCCTCGCTGGCTCTTCATGAAGCGACCTCCAGCGCTGCCTCCCCCCGAGGGGACTGCAGGGCAGTACGACCTCCCGGGGACGAGGCTCAGCACCTCCCGGTGCTGGCTGGAGACTGATGTGGATGACAAGTGGGAGGAGGAGGAAGAGGAAGAGGAGGAGGAGGAGGAGGAAGAAGAGGAGGAGGAAGAGGAGGAGAAGACATACCCCAGCCGCATATCCCAGGCAGGCTCCCGTGGCCAGGGCGCCCAGTGCCGCTATGACTGCGGGCGCCAAGCTGGGAAGACATCGGGGGGCTCAGCCCCCCGGGTGCCCCCCAAGGGGGAGGAGGAGCAGGTGGGCTCGGACCCGGGGCTGATGCTGTCCCCCAGCATCCTGAAGGCCTTGGAAGGGGTGCAGTACATCGCGGACCACCTGCGAGCCGAGGATGCTGATTTCTCGGTGAGTGGGTGCCCCCAAGGGCTGGGGGGTGAGGAGGGGGGAGTCCCTCACTTGTACCTCCATGGAGGGGTCCGTGCTGGCACCCCCGGTCTGTTCCCTGGCTGCTGAGGACCCAAAGCCGGGGAGAAAAATCAATGACTGTCTCCTGGGAGATGCCCGGTCCACGGGTTCAGTTGAGGGTTCCTCCAGCTCCTGTCCCTGACGGCTGCGGGGATGTTGGAGGTCCCTCTCCTGCCCGTTCTGTCCTGCCCTCGGAGAGCAGCAATGGCCCAGCCTGCCCTGCTGGGACCTGGCTCAGGGGCTGCACCCCTACTTTTAGCCAGTTGGTTTCAGAAAACCCTGGGTGGGATTAGCTCTGCCCCAAGTAGCCTCCCTGGAGAGGTCCATCCCCCAGCCCTGCTGCTCCAGGGATTTCCCGAGACACGGGGTATCTCCTCACCCTGAGGCAAACGGCAGAGGCAGAGGAAGCCCCGGGTGGTCTCCTAACTCCAACGGGTTCTCACAAACGGGGGGCTGCATCCTCTGCCCGCACTCACAGCCCCTCTCTGCTCGGCAGGTGAAGGAGGACTGGAAGTACGTGGCCATGGTGATCGACCGCATCTTCCTCTGGATGTTCATCATCGTCTGCCTGCTGGGCACCGTGGGGCTCTTCCTCCCGCCCTACCTGGCGGGGATGATCTAGGGGCCAGGGCAGGCTGCGGTGGGGACAGCGAGCGATGCACGCTCCCTCCTCCCGGGGAGCGGGCACAGTGGTGCCCACCTCCAGCCGGACCCTCGCCTCTCCCTGGGAGGACATGGTCGCAACCATGGAGGACCCTCGGATGGGAAATGCGGGGTGAAGCAAGAGCTGTGCCGAGGGGTGACCTGGGGATGGTGGGGAGGGACGGCCACCTGCCATCCTGCCCAGGGCAGTTGCAGCTGTCCCGGCATCGAGGAAGGCACGGTACAGCTTCCCCATTGACCGAGCGCAGGCTGGAGGCATCTAGGAGAGGCACCTGCTTCTTCAAGCTGCTGCAAGTCCTACCCAAAACCCAAGAACTGCATCTGGTTGTGACTCCAATGTGCTGGGCAAGAAGAGGGGACCTCACAGCCGCTCTAGGACGCATCCTGACCGCAGGGTGCTCAGGACCACAGGCTGGCACAGTCATGCATGACATGGGGCAGGCAATAACGCTTCAGATGGTCCATGCAGAAGGGGTACAGTCGTGGGATAGAGGTCCCCGCGTGGCTCGGGGGTCTCTGCTCTGCAAAGCCCAGCCCAGGTACAGACCCTCCTGCAACCCACCGGCACAAGCAGTGGCTTCCACGCCATCCCACACTGGAGCTCGGAGCAGCAGGGAGACGGGAACAGCCAAACCAGAAATGTGGGTGGCTTGGAAGGGAAAAACCACCCTGCAGAACGGGATAACCCACCCATCCACGGCCAGACGGCGTCCATGGACCCCGGGAGCTCAGGGGTGCTGCCTCGCGCCGAGGCTGGCAAACTTGGCTGGCACAGGGGGAACCTGCACTGCCGAGGTCCATCCCGAGCAAATCCTCCTCTCCATCCCACGTCAGGTCCCAAACCGTCTGATGACTGCTGCAACCCAGCTTTTAATTTCTAGCTTCCACATAACCTAAAGGACCCATGCTTACGGAGCATCTACTCTCTTCTTCCACGCCCCGAGAGACACCAGGTTTTTCCTGCAACGTTTTCTCCTCCTGGAGACCGACCCATCAGGGTGTTGGATGCAGTCTGAGAGGTTTCAGAAAACACTTTGTGCTTTCAGGAGTGAAATGGGGCGGAATAAACAGTGCCACGGAGGGACTTGCCCGTCCCGAGGGTGTTGCAGCCGCTCATGCAGCCTCCGGTGCTGGCAGGCTGGCTCGGGCGTGCACACACAGGGCTGAGAAATGAGACGTGCAAGGGAGCGAGTGCCCAGGCGTGGCTGGCTGGATGCGTGCGTGCGTGTGTGTGTCTAACCCGGTACACATGGGCTCTGCAGAGCCAGGAGGGCACGGGGGGAGAGAGCTCTCCTGCGAGGATAATTTCTGGCCTGGTTGGGGCTGTGTCTCCCTGGGGTGATGTGGGGGTGTTGGCTGGAGGTGAACAGGACGGGATGCCCAGCACCCCAGGCACTGCCAGGCCACGGCACACAGGGCTTCAGCAGACCTCACCGCAATGGGGCAGAGGGGGAACTTGCTCCCCTTCCCACGTTAATCCCTGCAGCCCCTCTTGCCAGCCGCAGCCGGCACCCACCACCCCTCTCAGCTCAGCCCTGCCTGGCTGATGAGGCCACCAGAGCACAAGCTCTGGGGTGACCCCCCCAGTGTGGCACTAGACCCTCAAGCATCCTTCTTTTTTGGGGGGGAGCCCATCTTCATGGCTGTGCTATCCCGCATAAACCACTTCCCAGCAGCCTCCACCACGAATTGTCCATGATTTCCTTACGGTCTTTGAAAAGCAAAGGTCTGCAGATACTCTCACTAGCAAGCCTTGGGGTGGGAGCAGGGGGAATCCAGGACCCTCCTATCGATCGTGGGCTCAACGGGAGGAAAATGGGGCTCCAGAGAGGACGCGGATGCAGCAGACCCGGGTTTACCCCAGCAGCTCCCCCGGGGATGCTGCCACCAGGACGGCGCTTCCCCACGCCGGCAAGGTGGCTCAGAGGTCTGAGCAGCACAACCCTCACTCTTTCTAAGGAGGTGCTGGTGACCAGGGGACTTGTCCCCACGGTATGGGGGTGACAGGCAAGCACAGGCACAGCAGGACTTTGTGCATGGTTTATCTCAGCCAGAATGAACAGCGTTGTGGGAAGATGCTGGGGAAAAGCCCGAACCGTGCGGTTTCCAACTCAAAGCACAAACCGAACAGAGACTTGGTTTGCCGTCGTTGCTTACGCAGAGCAGCTCGGAGAAAACTCAGCTGGAAGAGGCACCGTTCTCCTGGTTTGTGTCACCGAAGGCTGCGGTCCGGCGGGGTCCCATCCCTCCCCATGCTCTGCAGGCTTGGGGCCGGGCATGCTCCAGCCATGGGTGCCAGAACCGGCTACACCGCGGCGCGCGGACCCGCCTCCCATCATTAAATAAACTCTTCTATACAATGTACAAGGAAATGCAAACAGTCCCTCCGGCCACCGCTCCGATGGCCCCTGGGGACCCCCGCGCGGCCCCCCGGGATGCCAGCTCCCCCAGCCGTTGTGCCCCCCGGCTCCCGGCGGCGAGGAGCGGGGTCCAGGTCCCCATCGCGACACGCCGCCTGCGGCCGTCCGTCCTTGGAGGGGCCGAGGGATGGACACACGGACCTGCTGGCAGCTGGGGAGCAGGGAGCCGCCAAGCAAAAGGGATCTTCAGCCGCCCTCGGGGACGGCCAGGTCCCCCCCAGCCCTTTCCAGGGACGAGTCACCAGACGCCTCCCTTCTTCAGAAGACCGACGAGACGATGCTAAAGACACGAGTGGCTGCAGGAGGAGGGGGGACAGGGAGGGCAGGACGGCGAGGCCACGGGAGACACACAAAAGCCAGCTCCTCCGCAACGCTCTCCTCCCACCTCCGCTGACCGAAGCACGGCAGTCCCTCTCCTCCTCTCCTTCCCCACCCCTTCTCCTTCCCTCTCTCCTCCCCTGCCCTCACTCCAAGCACAGCTTCACCAGGTTGGCCTGGACCTTGGCTTGGTCCACGGCATCCAGGAGGTTCTTGGCATCCACGGCCAGGGTGTGGGAGGCCGTCAGCATCTGCCGCTTGCACTCTTCGCTCAGCGAGGTGATGGCGTTCTGCTGTGCCAGGCGCATCTTGTTGATGAGGTCGGCCAAGTCCTTGTTGAGCAGCTTCTGGGTCCCCTCGATCTGACCGTGACACGCAGGGGTTACAGACAGGGGTGCCGCCAGCACCCAACCCCACGCCGGACCCCTCTCCCTCCTCCCTGGTCCTACCTCGGTGCGGGAGGCGGCGGGCAGGATGGGCAGGATCTCGTCGACGCTGCCAATCAGCTTCCGCAGGGACAGGCCCACGTTCTGCGGGGAGGGTGGTGGGGTTAGGATGACTCCAGGCACGGGCACAGGGAAGTGGTGCGTGGGAATAGTCTGTGCTGCTGAGTCAAGGATCCCATTCGGGAGAGGGGCATAGTGGGAGACTCTCCCACCGTTGACCACAGGAACCAACGGAGGAGCAGGGAGTGCTGGAAATGCTCCCACCGTTGACCCAAGGACCCAACGGAGGAGCAGGGAGTGCTGGAAATGCTCCCACCGTTGACCCAAGGACCCAATGGAGGAGCAGGGCATGTTGGAAACTCTCCCATCATTGACCCAAGGATCCAAAGGAGGAGCTGGGAATGTTGGAAACGCTCCCTCCTACATGTGCAAGACTTTCCTGAGGAGGATGCTTGGTGGGACCTGCTCAGCAGACTCATTCCCAACTCCCTCCCCCATTCCCCTGGCGTTGCCCCTTCCCTGCCCTCCCTACCTTCACCACGAGGATGTACCCCTCTGGGGGCAGGAGGCTGATCTCGTTCTTCAGCTGCAGCACGGCCTGCACCAGGTCCATGACGTTGCTGTACACCGTGTCATCTGTGCGGTCCAGGTTGGCAGTGGGGGCCGGGTGGATGGACTGCCGGGGAACGGGGACATGATGGGATCAGATGGACCGAGGTGGCAAGGAGGGAAAGACCAACAGCTATGGGGAGCCCTGGCCAGACCCATCCACCTCCCACCCATGACCCCGGTGCTGCTGGGTCTGCCTGAACCCTTTGGGGCCTGGGGGAGTCAGAAAAGTCCCATCCTGCAGATGGAGAGGGATGATGAGGGTGGAGGAGGAGGAATGAGACTGTGGAGATGGAGGAAGAAGTCTTACCTGTGCCCCAAGTCTTGGAGGCTTCTGGGGGGGCCCCGTGAACTCCGCTATGCCGTCAGTAAGGAAAAGGAAGGAGAGTCACTCTGGCTGTTCCCCTGGACACATGGGCACGCTACAAGACCCCTGGGACCCGTGCCACGTCCCGCACCACCCTGGAGCAACGTGTCCCACTGTGGCTGAACAGCCTGACCCACCCCAGCTGTGCCACCTCCCCACAGGGTCAGACCCCCTTGGACCCCCATGCCTGGGACAGGCAGACACACACCCCCCCCTCCCAGGGCAGGCAAAGCTGCTCCCCATGATCTGGGATTTCTTTTGTGGAGGATCCCAAAGCCGGGAGGGATATGGCCCTGAGGCTCCTCGCAGCTGAACGCAAGGCTGCCCGCTTGCAGCCCCAAAGTGGGTGCTCCTGGGTGGGGGCCACGGGCAGCCCCACACCCTGTGCAGCTGTGGGCACTCACTGTAATCCGTCTCCTTCTCCGGGAGCAGCTGCGGAGGGAAGGAACAGTGAATGAGAGGCACAAAATCCTGGCTGGAGGCAGAGAAGAGGGAGGAGGCATCCCCATCCCTTCCCAGGCTTCAGGTGGGGAGCTCCAGACCACCAGTGTTTCACCCCATTAGCATTTGCAGATTAATTTTCCCAATGCGAGGGGCACATATATAAATATCTATCGCCCAACCATGCCAAAGCAAATGAGGATCTCCAGAGACCCCCAGGAGAAGGACCCCCTGCACCCAAATACACCCCGACCCGGTCTCTCCGGGGCCAGCGCCACTCACCAGAGGAGCGCTGTTGTTCATAAACACTGTTGGGTCCTGCAAAGGGAGAGAAGCTTTGTGAGAGGCATGGAAAAAAGGAAAAAGAAAGGAAAAAAGGGGATTTTCCTGATTTCTGGGAGACTCATGAAACACATGACAGGAACGCGTCTCTGCAGGGTCCGGGCATGTGGGAGGGGAAGTGGCTTCATGCCCATCGCTGGTCCCATCTCCATCCCATCCCATCCCATCCCATCCCATCATCAACCCCTATCTGCTCCCTGCCTGCTCCAAGGGTACCAGAAACCTCAAACTGCTGCTCCAAATAAAATGAAGCTTAATTCAAGCAGCTGTTTGCAGCAGCTCGGTATCCGATAGCCCCGGGGGCGAGGGGAGCTGGGCTTTGCTTCACCAGCTGCGTGAGTCTATCAAATAAAAGATTTTCTGTCTCCTTCCAAGCCTGTCTCACCACAAGCTGATGGATTAGTCACACATTAGCTATCTCCACTCCTTATTTCAAAAGTATTATAAAAGCTCATTAAGACGCAATTGCAAGTATTTTAAATTTGCCCAAGCTTCAAAATATTCATTTTGAAATGAAGCGGCTCCATGAGGTTTTTACGGGTGCGGAAAATAAGGGGATGCAAGAGGTTTGGCTGCTGGCGGAGCCGTTCCTCCGAGGAAAACTGGCTTTTCCAGCCATGAAGAGCAACCTCAACGGCTGCTGTGGCTCCTCCCCCACCTCCATGAGGAGGCAAGAGCTGGAGGCAGCCCGAGGCCACTCACCAGGGACTTCTCCTCCTGCCGCAGCCACTGGTAGTCCTCCACCATCTGCTTCTGCTGCTTGTCCAGGACCTGCCGCATCTTGAGCCTCTCAATTTCCCAGAGCTTCTGCGCCTCCTCCCTGCTGCTGGGACGGAGGAAATCTTCCTCCTGGTGTGCAGAGCTGGCGGTGACCGGGGGGCTCAGGAGTCAGAGCCCCCTGCCAGTTTTGGCACGGGAGCCAGAGCCCGCTCCGTGCATGCAAGCCATGCACCAGACCCCAACAGCTGTGAACCCCCAAACTGAATTTGGGGAGCACTTGGGTTTCCAGCAGGGAGAGAAAACCACCAGCTGGCCCCAAATCTCCCACCGCCACATCCCGGCACTTTCCAGCCCCGTCTGTGAGCCATGGGCAGCATGTACGGGCCGACTTGGGGAGCGGCTCATCGTGCCCACGGCACAGACGCACTCGGCACCGCGGCTGTGCCAGCACACTGGGCAGAGCACCCCAACACCCGGCTCTGATTTTGGGGCTGGAGTAACTGCGGTCAGGCTGCAAACCACCACTGGCATTTCAGGTGACAACGCCGAGAGTGAGGAGCCGACCCAAAGCCCCGAGGAATGGCAGCCACCCGTCCCCTGGTCGTTTTTGGGGATGCCGTGCTAGCCACTTGTCCACCAACATGCCTTCACCGGGATGTGCACGCAAACATGCATGGTGGGGGGGCTGGAGACACCCCGAAGCCCTTCATGGGCTCGATCCCTCCAGCCCGCAAACGGCACCCGTGGGGTGACAGGATTTGGCCCTCCCGCAGCCGGGTCGGGAGCAACATTGAGCTCAAAGCAGCGGAGGCAGCAGCACAGAGCGGAGCGTGGTACAGCTAGCATCCCTCCCACCGAGCCCTCGCCTCCTGCGAGGTCCCCGGCGTGCCCGGGACGAGGCCACCCGAGACCGGGATGTCCTCTGGATGCTGCGGGATGGGGGAAGCCCTCTCCTTACCCTCATGCTGTGGCGTTTGAAGACGTTGTGGCGGTTGAGCGGCGGGGTGTGCAGGGAGTTGGCTGGAGACTGGTACTCGATGGGGCTGGTGAGCGTAGGCGAGCTGGCACACAGACCCTCGGGCACCTGCGGGCGGGCCGGGGAGGGGGCGGGCAGCGGGGCGGCG